TTTTATCATTTGACTTCAGTAAGCTTCAAGGTCCCAAGTTCCCAGCGGTTCTGGAAAACCACACCTGAGGCTGGCAAGCAGGTTTGGCCCAGCCCTTAACTTTAAAACGACCATAATGCTTAAAGGAGTAGGTTGAGTCTGTCCCATAATGTCCGTCCAGTAAGTCCACCGAAAAAAACATACAAACACAGACAACTACAAGGGCCTGAAAATACAGTCTTCCAACTCCATAGAAGCCAAACCGAAAGCTAGACAATGTCCTTACGCCAACCCGGCGGGAGCGACCCGTCTCGTCTCAGATCCTCGAGGGGAATACATATCCCTCGTGAGGGGCATATGCCCCTCATGGGGCGATTACACATCCCCTGTGAGTTCACACAGGACAGAACACATAAACACACAGAACAGAATACACAATACACAGACACCTACCACGGCCAGTCAGACTCTCCAGATTGGGGGTCCCTCGAGGGTCTTGGGATTCCGGACAAGCCCCCAAATGTTATGCCCAGATTTCAAGATCCCCAATACACCACCAGGGAGCCAGCCGAGTCCGATGCAAAAGCAGAGAGTCTTTACTCAAACTAGTTTGGGCCCCCCCATCAGCCACACTCGCCGATGCAGCGGCAGTGGCCGAGAGAGCGTGAGAGCCCCATGGGAAGAGGGGTTTAATAGGGAGGTTGGAGTAAGGGGAGGAGAGAGGACTGTGGGCCCTGCTAATTGGCCGGGCGCAAGTCAGTGTGATCCGGAGTAAGATGGAGGGCGTAGCCCTCGCCCTTTCACTGGGCTGATGTTGTCGCATTCACTGTGACGTTGGCTGTGCCAACTAGCGGTGGGGTATCTGAAGCTGGCTCATAACCCGAATTTTAGCTCGCAACTCAAAGCAAAAAATTGGCCAAGAGACAGGTCATATCTCAAAAAACTCATTAGTCAGGACACTCCTAAGCCAAGGCCCCACTGTATACTATTTGACTCAGAAATTCCACTTCTAGTATTTTATCTTTTAAAAATCACCAAAAAAATGTACACAATGATGAATTACAAAGATATTTAATTTCTATTGTGTGTAAACAAAACGAATGCACAATAGCATATTGGCTGAATGAATAGCAGGACCTTCCTATGTGACAGGGGAAATGCCTCTTCCTTAGCCCCTAGTTTTCTGGCTTTTCCTCAATTTTCCTGGCTTCTTTCCCCATTCCTTTCTCTTCCCAGAGGTACAATGATTGGTCAGTTACAGGCATTGATTGGAGGTGATCATAGTCCCTCTGCTTGGAGGAGTTGCCTTTCTTTTTTTTCTTTTTTTTCAAAATATTTTTATTGATTTCACAGTGGAAGGGAGAGGAAGAGAGATAGAAACATCAGTGATGAGAGGGAATCATTGATTGGCTTCCTCCTGCAGGTTGGACCAAGCCCACAACCCAGGCATGTGCCCTTGACCAAATTGAACATGGAACCCTTTAGTCCGCAGGCTGACGCTCTATCCACCGAGCCAAACTGGCTAGGGCAAGAAGTTGCCCTTTCTTCACCCCTCTCCACAGGTCCAAAGGGAGTTCAAGGACCTGGTGAGATGTCTGCTTTAAGCTTTTCCTGAAGTAGTTTCTTCCAAGGTCTGAACAGAAGGACAAAATCAGAGAGCCAAATTTATTTCTCATGTTGAGCTACATCTTCCAATTTGGCCTTAATTAGAAATAAGGGTGATATTTTGGTTCTCCACCTGCTATCTTATCTCTCTATTGATTTGTGTGGAAAAGATGGGTGCTACTTATTGATCTTTTCAAAGACCCTGAAAAACATTCAGTAGAAAACTATGTTGCTACTAAAACTAGTATAGAAACTTATAATTGAAATGGTTATATTTTTCAAGTGAAAAAGCAGGTTACAAAACAATTTGTAATACATAGCTTAGAAAACTGAAACATACCAATATATTGTGGTATTTTCTTCTTATTCTGTATTTTCTAAATTTTTCTACATGAATTTTTTTTTTTTGGTTTTTAAATGTATAAATGTATGCAATGAATTACTCCACTCAAACATCATCTGCTCTGTAGCTCTCCCTGTGCTCCTCCTGACTCCCTGGCATCACCATGCCTCCTCTGAGCCCTAACTTACCCTATAGGGACATTTCTATAAAATTACTGTGTATAATAATCATTTATTTAGAAGTCTCTTTTCTAATAGCTTGAGAGCTCCTTGGGGTAGTGTCCTTATTTTATCCATCTGTTACCACAGCAACCATCAGGGCACTTGGCTCATAATTAATGCCCAATTCATGCTTATCCAATGTATTGTTGAGCAAAAGGATGAAGGACACTTTAATAAGGTTCCCAATACCTAAAAGGGTGATGGCAGGGGAAAAGGCAAGCAGCTGTCTCTTCTTTAGAAATGGAAAAAGGAGGTGGGCTGGAAGTTGGGAAGTGTGATACTCTTTTCAGTAGCAAGAGATGTTATCCTCTGTGCGGGAAGGCTGACCCTTCCCTCTGCATATGGTAAAAAGAGGAAGCCTATCATCCAAGGGAGGTAGTTGGGGTATGCCTCTGCCTTAAGGTAGGGGTGGCCCTGGGTGAACTCAGGGAGGCCCCTCATCCTTTGATCAAATTTAGACAAGTGAGCCTTTACTGCCATTGAATCACAGGGAACAGCCCTACCTAACAGCCTGGTGTGCCTCCTATATGCAACAGGGGCAAGTGTGCTCCGGAGAATAAAGATTTATGGGTAGCCTCCACACATCTCTGCATCCGCTGAATCTTGCAACGTTATGACTCCATCACTGCCAGGCTGTAGCGAACTGAATGTCGTTGTCTCAACACCAAAACAAAGCAGCTGCAGGGGGAAAGTTGTCCATTCTTGTAGACTTTGGCTTCTGGCCACACCTAGCACCTTGCACTGGGCTTACTTTGTGCAAAGCCATCCCGTCATAAGTCCTCTCCCATGGTAGTGAGCATCTGTTTTCCTCTGCCCAGGATCCCTTCTGCTAACAGTCACAGATGATGCCCTTTTTTCTGTGTAATCGTGCTTTTTGGAGTTCAGATCATGTACTTCCTGTTGGCAGCCTGATTCCTCCTCCTTGGTGGACCTGTGACCCAGTCCTCACCTAATCCTCATGTGTGTCACCCACCTGTGAGAGCACACAACCCCTCCAGCTACAGTGCTTGGCTCAGCAGTGAACATGTGACCGAGGCTGGTCCAATCAGAATTGACTTGCCAATGCTATCATGAATTGGGTATTGTCTCTTCATTGGGGTTGAAACTGAAGGGATTGAAGTCTGTAGTTGCTGATGGCCAGCTTTGCCACAGTATAAGTATGGTGTGTGTGTGTGTGTGTGTGTGTGTGTGTGTGTGTGTGTGTGTGTGTGTATGTATGTGTAGGGGTGTGTGTGTGTGGGGGGAACCTGAAAGGGTGTGTAGGGGTGTGTGTGTGTGAGGGGAACCTGCAAGGGAGCAAAAACAACAGCACATAGATAACTCTTTCTGGAAAGAATAGCATTTGGAAGTAGGTAATTGTTTTTTATTGGCTTTTTGGTCTTGGACAAATTTAAATTGTGTTAGCTTATCCTTGGTTAATAATGATAATTATCATTAATTGCTCCAGTGAGGATCAGAGAACCTAATGTACATGAAACACAATATAAAAATGTAAAAAGTTATTTTCATTTAATGTTTTTTTTTAATTGATTTCAGAGAGAGGAAGGGAGAGGGAGACAGAAACATCATTGATGAGAGAGAATTATCAATCTACTGCCTCCTGCATGCCCCCTACTAGGGATGGGCCCAAAATCTGGACATGTGCTCTGACCAGGATTCCAACCATGACCTCCTGGTTCATGGGTCCACAATCAACTACCAACATACACCAGTTGGGCTATTTTCATTTAAATGTGAACTGTTTAGAAAAAACTGAAAGGGAGGAGAAAAAATTGTAAGGAGTTGAGACCACCAGATCAGTCCCTCCCCGCTCTCCCCTCGCCCCCCTCAGAACCCAGCATAGGGCCTAAATAATAACAAGACACACAGAGTTAATTAATCTTCATTAAATGAGTGAATAAAGGACAAAAGGATTCATTATAATAGGACAATGTTTTCACTGAAAATCATTTTGTGCAAATCTGATGTGATTGTTCGTGGTTCCTGTGGGCGCCATGGAAATGTGCTGTTCAGATCTTAAAGATAGTCTGCAGTGGGCATGATAGACTGATAGCCCTAATTGCTAACCCTTGGGGTCCACCATTATCTGTCATTTTTTATTCTAGCTATTCCTAGGGGTGTGAAGTGGTATGTCATTGTGGTTTTAATCTGCATTTTTTGGACAGTTGATGATGAGCATTTTTTCATATGATTATTAGTTATTGGCATATTTTCTTTGGAGAAATGTCTATTAATACCCTTTGCCCATTTTAATTGGTCTATTTGTCATTTTATTATTGAGTTTCAAAAGTTATTTATGCATCTGGATACAAGTCCCTGTAAGAGTTAGGATTTGCAAATATTTTCTCTCATTCTGTGGGTTGTCTCTTCACTTCCTTGATGATATATTTTGCAACAAAACTGAAATGTTTAAAATTTTGATGCAGTCCAATTTTCTTTTTTTTCTTGTTCTTTGTATCATATCTAAGTAACCTTTCTCTAACCCAAGATCATAACATATTTACAGTTATGTATATAGTTTTAGCTCTTACATTCTGCACTGTAATCCATTTTGAGTAAATTTTTATATATATGGTATGAGGCAGAGGTCCAATTTCATTCTTTGGTATGGGTATCCATCTGTTCCTGGACCATTTTTTTAAGAAGGCTATTCTTTCCCCATTGAACTGTATGTAGCTTTGTGGTGAGTTTTGAAATTGGGAAGAGTGAGTCCTCCAACTTTTCTTTTTTTTTCAAGACAGTTTTGGTTATTCAGAGTCACATTTCCAAATGAATGCTGGATAATTTCTGTGGGATACAGGACCCCTCTTATGGGTAATTTTGACTCAGGGACTCCCCATTAGCTTGCTTGAAATTTTCTCAGAGCTGTGCTGAGTTGAGACTTTTCTTGATGGATATTCCTTCCCCACTCCACTCCTTTCACAGGTGTCAGACCTGCATCAGTATCTAAAGGCTCTCTTTGCCTACTTCTGCGACCTCTGTTTATTCTTCACAGGCATTTCCCTCAGTAAATCTCCTACAAATCTAATCCTGTCTTAAAATCTGCTTTTCAAAGGGTTTCTTAAGCTTGGAATTTTTAAATCCAATTCCAAGTCCTTTTGATATACTTGAAAATATATTAATCAACTAAGGAGGGAAAATTTTAACTTCTAGACAACACTCCTTATAAGAGATGAGGCCCAGGATCCTCTTCATTAAGAGTAAGCAGGCACAGCTTTGAATGTCTTGACCATAGTTCTTCTCTAGTCAGAACTGAAATGGCCAATGTTTCAAGTGAAAGTGAAGTACAGTAAGTCTTTGGGGGTTGCTATTCACTTGAACACCCATAATCATGTGACCTGACAATTTTTTTTCTTGCAGTTTAACTCAGTTTGATTTTAGATTTATCTCATTTGCAGCCAAAATCATCCTAACCACTGTTGACATTTGAGTGGCTGTGAGACACTGTAGCAGTGTCCATGAAAGAAATTCACCATTTTACTCCAGCTAGTTCAAGTTCGCATTCTATAATTTGCAATCAAGAGAGTGAATAAAATGTTTGTGTTACCAAAAATTATGTAAGAAGATAAATTAACAATTATTTTGTATAGCAAGAGAAAACCAACCTTCATTTTAACTTTCTCTACATGACAATATTTAAACTATCTCTGAAGAGGTAAAACTAAATAAGAAAGGGTTTTGTAGACATTAAAAGAAATAGGAAGGAAGAATCATGACCATTTTATGTACGAGACACTTTTAGGAAGTGACAATTTCATAACCAAAGCGAAATGTTTATTCAATCAAGAAAGGAGATAGAAATAATTTCAGTTCCAATAAAACATTATCTTTTGAAGCCTGGCACCCACCTGAGTAAGGAAAGGAAGTAAACATAGCTACCAGAGTCAGTAAGAAACTGTTATGGCAAAAGATCACTTAGCAAGAACGTGCAGTCATCAGTGAAGCTCTGATGAAGAACAGCTAGCTGGGCACCATATATCAGGCCCTCTGTTATTCACTGAATAAAGATGAAAGGATACACTTCCTAGCTTCATTTGTTCACAATGTAGTGGGGAGATAAAGATTTATTTTTTAAAACAGATTTATTGAGATATAATTCACATACCATAAAAGTCACCTATTTAAAAGTGTGTAATTCCATGGTTTTTGGTATATTCTGTTAACTTTTCATTTTAAGATGCTCACCCAAGGATGTTTTATTGATTTTTTTTTTGAGAAAGAGGAAGGGAGAAAGATAAACATCCATGAGAACGAAGCATTGATGGGTTGCCTCTGTATATGCCCTGACTGGGACTCAAACCAGCAACCTTTTTGTGTCCAACAAACCAAGCCATTAAAAAAAATTGTGGTAAAATGTTTATAATTTTTTATATTGAGCAAAAACTATACAGCTTCTACACTTTTAGGACATTGAAATTTTACCTGCTGGGAACCATAAATAAGTCTGTTCCCTCTTGCCACATGGCAGCTTTTAAAATGTCCACAGAAGGCCATCACATCTTATTTTATCCAAGCTCTGTCTAGTTCTTTTCATTATGCTTGATTTACTATGCTAATAGACCTTCTATTTTTTACTCTTTTCTTTGAATAAGATATGCTTTGTTAAAGTCTGTTTTAGTCAGGGTTTGCTGGAGAAACAGAACTAATAGGGTGTATTTGTGTGTGTGTGTGTGTGCGCGCGAGAGAGAGAGAGAGAGCGAGCGAGAGAGAGAGAGAGAGCGAGCGAGAGAGAGAGAGAGAGCGAGCGAGAGAGAGAGAGAGAGCGAGCGAGAGAGAGAGAGAGAGCGAGCGAGAGAGAGAGAGAGATTTTGATTGATTTTAAGGAATTGGCTCACATGATTATGGAGGCTGGCAAATCCAAAATCTATAGGGTGAGCAGCAGGCTGGAGAAATAAGAGAGCTGATGTTGCTGCAGAATTCCCTCTTGCTTGGGGAGGCCAGTCTTCTGGTCTATTCAGGGCCTCAAATGATTGGATGAAGGTGCCCACATTATGGAGGACAATCTGCTTCTCTTCAAGTTACCGAGTTAAATGCTGATTTCATCCAAAAACACTCTTACAGAAACACCTAGCATAGTGTTTGACCACATAGTTGGGCACTGTGGGCCACCCATGCTGACATGTAAAATTAACCATCATAATTTCTATCTTGACAATATGGTGCATAGACATGAGCACAGCATACTGGGCACTTGACTACAAGGCTCTGTGATTGGTGAGGAGCGTGAATTGTGTCATTTTTCACTTTTTTAACACCTCTGAGCCAGCCCTTTCTGTTGCTTTCACATGTGGACTGGTCCAGGTTCTTTGCACCTCAGAAGCAGATGACCATGAGATCAGATGTGCATCATATGCCATTTTTTCTTCCCATTATTCTGGTTAGGTTTCTTGAAAAAATAATCTATACTCATTTCTTCCATTTCCTCATGTGCTATTCCTTAACTTTTTCTGTCTGGCTTCTGTCTCCACTCACTATTTCTAGTTCCCAAATTCAGTGGGAGCCATGGCCCTGCATTCCCCACCCTCTGAAGGACTGGACACTATCACTGTCCCCCCATTGGAAACCCTTCCTCCCTTGGCTAATAAGATGCACTTCTCCTTCTGTTCAGTTTAATAGCTTGTAATGACTGTATGTCAGGCACTGCTTGGTGCTGGGGACACATTTGTTCTCTTGACTGTCTTTCAGGTTACTTTTGTGGCATAGAAGAAAGAGCAGAGTAATATGTGGATTGCATAAGAACCCCATAAAATATGCATTAGCTATTAATTAAATACTGAGTTTCTATAAAGTGCAAGACCTAATGAAAGGGATCCACCTCAAAACAAGTAAGATGTGGCCTTTCACCTTAGGGAATTAAAGGGCGATAAACATGTTCACAAATAAGTACATTATAAAGTAGAAAGTCAAGAGCTTTTAAAAAGATCTAATTATATGCTATAAGTCAAGATCAAAGGAAGGAAACCTACTTTTGGTCTTAGGAAATAACATTTGAGTTGCAACCTGAAGTGAGCACGGGATTTGAGCATGTAGAAAGAAGAAGGCCATTCCAGGCAGAAGTAGCTTCAGGAAAAAGGCAGACCTGTGGGAGGTGAGGTGGAAGGTGCACAGGCTGATTGTGGACAGCCGTTAGTTTCATGCCAGTTTGGCATTTTTTCCAATTGTTTAACAGGGACTTAGTACAAATCTTTTGGCAGTGACATAACACAGTAAGCAATGTGCTTTAGAAGGGTCCTCTGATAGCCACTAAAAGACCTGGAATGAGCAGTGAGGGTGCCTGATCAGGTGGCAGGAAATGGGGCTGTCAGAGGGCTGCCTGGAGAGAGAAGATTAGGGAATTGGAAGTCTTGCAGGGGATGGATGGATGTGGGAGAGGAAGGGTCAGGAAAGCTTCTGGTTTGGAAATTTGGTGACCGAGTTGGTGCTGCTTTTACAGAAATAGGGTATTTAAAGCTACATGTGTTTGGGTAATGTGGATTCAAGGAAGAGGTAAGGCTTTTTCATGTAAAAAACCTGGATATCTAAAAACCATTGCCTGTATTCTGTTTGTGAATGAGGTACCATTGATAAGATACACTTCTCCAAGTTTAGAAGGTCAAGTGTGTTGAAAGCCACCTTCCTGACCCCTTCTCTTGGTTCCTGCTGGCATGAAATATTGTGTGTGTGTGTGTGTGTGTGTGTGTGCGTGTGTATGTGTGTGTATGTGTGTATTGATGTTCTGAGTCAAGAGGCAGTTGTGTCTGGTGGCAACAGCCTGTTTCTGGCTTCCTGATTTCTAGATCTTGTTCATAGGTATATATTCTTGACACACTGCTCCCGGAGTAGTTAAGAGACAGTAGTGCCAAGTATTTTCTTCTGAGAGTTTTTCCAACAAGTTTGAAAGCACCTAATGTTTGTGTCCCTCCACAATTCACATATAGAAGCCCTAATCCCAATGTGATGTATTTGGAGGTGGGGCCTTTGGGAGGTAACTAAGTTATGAGAGTGGAGCCCATGATGGGCTTAGCACTCAGACAAGAAGAGGCAAGAAAGCTACCTTGCCTTCTGCCATGTGAGCACAGAGGAGGAGACAGCCACGTGCAGCTGGGAGGAGGGCTCTCACCAGAACCTGACCATGCTGGCACCCGAAAGAAATTTCCTCTGTTTAAGCCGCCCTGTGGTATTTGGTTATGGCAGCCCGAGTCAAGACACAATTAGTATTACCCTTAATTAATCCTTTCCTGCTGAACTGGGTTCTGCTTCTTTCCCTGAGCCCTGGAGCCCAGTGTAAACCCTCAATTGATGGGGGAAGACACAAGTGAAACCCATGCCAGAGTCAGAAACACTGACCCAAAGGATAAACAGAAAATGTGTCATGAAGGGTAAAGGTGAGGGTCTGCTAACAATGGTCAAATGCAGTAGAAAAAGTAGGGAAGATGAGGTTGAAGACAAAACAGATGTGAAGTTTGAAAGTCACCTTAGAGGACACTATCTCACTGAGTGGCAGAAACCAGGCTGCAAAGAAGACTCTGCACACCGAAGGCAAAGGGGCTCTCTCACGAAGTCCCTGATGGGAGGGGTGAGAGGACAGTTCATGGAGGGGGTGGGGAGGACAGATGCAGTTTCTGGTTAGGGTGGGAGGCTACAGCAGCACTCATTAAAGCTATTTAATTATAACTATTTGTAATCCAAATAGCCTAGAAATTTATAAAATATGAACATCACTTAAAGTCCCCTTTACAATAGCATCTTTTAATTTGAAGAAGAAATGAATATGAGATAATGTCTAGTTTTGAGTCTCTGTGTTTTTTTGGTCAATGATCACTTTTTTATTTCAGAACCCTTTGTTAGCTCATCTCACAGGCATGGACTTTCTTACTTCAAAATGGATGTAGACAAATCTATCCAACTGACCTGCTGAGCCTTCGTTTCATTTATTTTCCTAGTTCTCACCTGTCACGTTCCTCAGGAGCTGAGGATTCACTTCCTCTTAACATCCTGTCTGGCTTGCAACATTGCACTAAAATTTCCTTGACTCCCTAGAACCTACTGACTAAGCTGCTAGCAGCTTGAGGGCAGGATTAGATTTTATTCTTCATATTTGTGGCAACCAGTATGGGCTCAACAAAAGAGCAGTAAATGGTTTAGTCACTGAACAAATACCAATTTACTGAGAATCTACCCACTGAAATGGGTGAACAAGACAAACACAAATGCCACCAATATTGCATTTTGTGTCATTCACGCTACTCTGTGTTCCTTCTAAGTGGTTCCCAGGAGCTCAGCTACTGTATGTCCCTGAGTGACAGCAGGGTGTTAATGTTGCTCTCATATAACAAGTCCAATTAATGTTGTGATGAATAAATTCCCCCTAGACTTTGACCTCTCAGGAGCTAAAGGGCTTTTAATGTAATATTTGATGATCAGACCAAAGACTATATGGCCAATAGTGATAAGAGTGTGTTCCACTCCTATGGGAATGTATGCACAGGTGACCCAAAGTGCCTCATTTGGATATACCAATACAGACGTCAAAGGGTACTTACTATTAATTAATATGGCCGAGCTTAACCAAAAACTAAGAAGCGAGAAGACACAGGGAACAAACAATGCAAGAAATCACACAGGTTTATTTACCAGAGGCTATCCAGAGACACTTGTTGACAGAGACACACGGAGGTCGTCAAATACGCTGTGGCAGGAGCTCGGTCTCTTAACTCGAAGAGAGGCCTCTAACAGTCTGGGCTCAGAAGCAGAGCAGGGACGGCAGTTTCCAGGGGGACAGAGAACGTCTTGTCTGTGGAGGTCAGACAGGCGTCTGACTGCTGCTGTGAGAGTCCTTCTTTTATGCCTCATGGGTGGACTTCTTCAGTGTCTCATATCAGTGTGCTCCGGTGGCCTTCTGGACTTATCAGGATACACACGCAGGGAGTTACAAGTTGTTTACATGCAGGGAATTACAAGTTACTTATCAGGGTCACACACACACACACACACACACACACACACACACACACACACACAAATTAAGTCTTCTAAGTAAAGATTAAAATTCACTCTAATAAAAAATGAAATTTGATTATGCTATCTTATACTAACTAAACTTATTACTATAACAGAGTGAGAAAGAAATGTCTTCTGTTTAAGCCACCCTGTGGTATTCCCTGTGTTCCATGTGACATTACTTTCCATTTGTGATCCATCACTCTGTACATGCTGTGGGCTATCACATGTCACATGTTGTCTTAGTTTATTCAGGCTGCTATAACAAAGTACCACAGACTGAGCTAGCTTTCCAGCAATAGAGATTGATTTCTCAGTTCTGGAGGCTGGAGGTCTGAGTTTCGGGTGCAAGCATGGTTGCCTGAAGGCCCTGGTCTGGGTTGTAGACTTCTGGTTGTATCCTCATGGGTAGTATAGGTCAGCAATCTCTCTGGAGTTTGTTGTATTATGGTACCAATCCTATTCATGAGAGTTCCACCTTCATGACTTAATTGCCTTCCAAAGACCTATCTCTTAACACTGTCACATAGGTGTCAGTGAAATAGGAAGTTTAGGGGGATATAGGCAGGTTTAGGAAATTTTAAAAAATTAAAGGTCGATGGAAAAAACACAGGGCTACAGACTGGGAGAAGTTACATTTCCATAAGACAATGGAACTGGGAATAACAAAAGGTCTATATTTACAATATAAAGGAGGAAGAAAGTGCAGATGGAATGGGAGAACAATGAGGGAGGAGGGCCTCACATGGCCCATGTGATATTTGACCTTTGAACTCAGGAGTTGCTATAGTAACCAAATCAAAGGGAATATTGGCCAATCAGAGGGGATATCAGGACACAGGGCCTTGCAGCCCTTGTAAGCCTTGGAAACAGGAACTCTGGCAGGACTCTTGCCCTCCCCACGTGGGAGTCTGTGCTGTGAGATTCTTTCCCCTTCCTCACGTGGGAGTCTGTACTTGTTCTTCAATAAATTTCCACCTTTGCTATACCATCCTCCCTCTGTGGATTCATTCTTCAACTCTGACAAAGAATCCAGGAACCATCCTTCCCAGGGGAATACCACGTGTTCCAGTCCAAAAATCCCGTATCATTAGGTGTGAATTTGGGGAGGACACAAACATTCAGACTATATGTTCTGTTTTTTGTTTGTTTGTTTGTTTTTTGTTTGTTTTTTAAATTTCCAAACTAAAAAGTAAATGGACTTGGAGAATAGACAGTGAGCCATCAATTTGCCAAAAAAGAGACATCTGAGGTGTGGACCTGACTTATTTAACACACATCTTGAAGACAATAAAAGCGCATAGAAACCCACAGGGCTGTTCACACTGCTTATCTTGAATCTCCCTCTGCGTCCTCTTTGTGTATGTTTATGATCTTTGCTCTCAAGCTACCCGCTTTTACTCCTACAACAAATGGTTAACCCAAATCTGGCCTCTGTGTGTCTCACTGTTTTTTCCGTCTGAGCGCCGACTGCCTTGTGAAGAAGTGAATTTAGAGTGCTTTAGAACTCATCAAATAACCAGAGCTGTTGATCAATGTTTCACTCTCAACATCCATGTTTCTGTCTCTCCCTCCCTTCCTTTCTCTCTAAAATCTGTAAGAATATATCCTCAAGTGAGGATTAAAAAAAATTATCCAGAGCTGCCCTCCTCTTGGTGGCTGCCCTTTGGATGGGGGATAAGCTTTTATTTGTGTGTCATTTTTATTAAACTGTTTAACTTAGGATGCCTTTGTTGGAAAATGGCTCTGGTTCAACCCACCACTGCGGCCTCCACATAGTTTTGCCAGCAATCAGGCCCCCAACAGGTTGTCCTGCCAGGGGTCTCATCCTTTGCCGAGCTAGGGAAATAGAACAAGGCCTTTTCCCTCCATCCCAACACGCTCTTTTTCAGGTAAAAAATAAGAAATTGTTCTACTAGCTAGGCATAAGAAATTACCAAAGACTGCATTTGAAAAGCAGTATCTGAAGAAATCTAAACACAATTTGATACTAAATTTAATAATTTTTACTAAATTTAATGGGTTCTACTAAGTCAACCTTAAAACTTTTTTTGAGTTAAAAAGCTCAAAATGGAGCCCTTCAGAGCAGCTGCTCTTAACACAGGCAGGAAGATGTGACAGGTTTGATCCTTGCAGAGGGAGGGGCTTTTTGCCTGCTGTACGGAAGCCTCCCCTTCTGCTCCAAGTGCTTAGCTAACAGCTCTTCTCCCC